TAATCTGTTAAATGACTACTAATTATAACTAATTATAATTAATTATAACAATTGATGTTGATCTGTCTGGTAGAAATTTTAATTCGACTAAAAAATTAATAATTCAATAATCATATTAATTATACAAATTCTTTTATGATGTTTTATTAATTTGTATATATTCAAAATCATTAAGTTTTTTGTAAAGACAAATAAAGAATATTTAAAATATCAATATTTTAATATATTAATATTTTAATATATTCGGAGAAGATCATAACCATGAAAAAGTAATTTATTTGCTGTAGAAGAATCTGAAACGCCCATTTATTCTTTTAAAATAAACATTTAATATTCTACAATTATAATTTCCTTTAAATTTCGATTTATACGCTATCGTATTATTAATTGCTTGAAAATATTAATATTAGATCATATTGCTACTATTAATTTATTACAAGAAACATTGATTTGTTCACAGAATTTTTTTTGTACATATGTATTTACAATATAATATGTGCGTATTTATAGTAAATTTATATAGTAAATGCATAGTTATATAAAATAACATATTTATATATACGCAAATATGTGCATATACAAAATTTGCAGTGATGTCTGTTAGCCTTGTTGCTTTCTGCTACAAAGGTCTTTTGCAGTAAAGATTTTCAGATCAAATCTTAAATAGATGATACACGGTGTGACACAGTGTATCATTACATCCTTGTTATTCGACAAGGATAATGATCACTATTTTGCACTAGTATCACTTGTATGAAGACACACGACGCTTTATTGCAATACAAAGTATAAAAATCAGGAGATAGAATTATTATATTGAAAAGAAAACGAACATTCCATCTAATGAATTTATTTTCATTATGAAATTCATATTATCTCTCTCTCTCTCTCTCTCTCTCTCTCTCTCTCTTTCCTACTTATTTTATTATTAAGACACTAAGAGCTTTACATTTGGAATTATCCTGACACGAAGCATTTTATTGTTTATCTATTTGAATATAATCTTTTCATAGAATCTGTTGTTAAACTGAATTTTTTTATAATTATTTTTTACATGTGTACATAGATATTTTTTATATGTGTACTTCAAGACATTCAATTTTGGTTAAGATACATTAATCATTTGACTTTATATAATGTAATTATAAAAACTTTAGCTCATGATTTCATTTTTTTTGCATTTGAACAAAGAAGTTTTAGTTTGAATTTAGAAGTTTTAGTTTTAGTTGAATTTTTTATTACTCACTGACACAATGAAAATTTAATTTATTTATAATATTTATATATATTGTGTCCAATTTCTGATGTGATTTCAGTAATTTTATATTCTAACGTTTGACTATATTTTGATTATTGTTTTAAAACTTTTAAAGTGCACGTATAAATTCAATAATTATATAAAAATATGTTCGCCCTAATATGTTTATTAATAACTTTATTTTAGAAATATGTGAAAAAAAAAGGACAAAAAATACGTAGAATTTGGACGGAAGATCTCCAAGTTTGCTCTAGCATCTTACGCGTACGATCACGCAGAATTCTTGGATATTGTGTTTATGAACATGATATATTACCCAGTCAGAAATAATTTCTCGAAAAGATGTCGTTTTGATGTCGAAAATAAAAGTCGAAAATTTTCGAAATTTCTATTGATTTCGATGGATTTTTGACTCCAATTTTGACTAATTTTCGAGTTAAAAATAAAATCTTGAATTGATCTAGTCAGTATAAAAATATACTACTAGTGTTACTTAATGCAATAAGTAAATTCAACAAGTAGTGTCATTAATAGCGTAATAATGATGGAAAAAATTTCATTAAAGTTTCATTGAAATTTTATTGTGAAAATAAGTATTATTAATTAGCATCATATTTCAGAGGATACACGACAAAATTATAATAAAAAAAAATTTATTTTATGAATTTCGAGAACTAATTTTATGATGCATCCATGCGCGGTCACCCATCCCAAACCTCCACTTACCATACTTCATTTCTGTTCGTATGGGAATTACTCTTTCGAAGAACCATCTATAATGCTAATGGATATATAGTTGTAATCTATCTGTTCAATGATGTTGTGAAAGAAGCAGAATACATAAAAAAAATATAATTAATGTTAAATATAATAGTAATGTACAAATGATGTCTCCTATGACTTGTTTTTAATAATACTGTAAAATATTATTTTTATTAGCTGAAATAATACTAATTGCTTTAATGTTAAATATATATATTTTTATTCTAATAAATTTTTTATATCAAATATTACAATTATTGGAAGTAGTTCTATATTACGTCACATGTCATCATATACTACTACAGCAACACTATTGGCTCAGCATTGACACTATTGCGTATCAGTAGTAATACTACTGCAGTAGCAATGACACTAGTAATATTTTTATACTTCCAAATAATATTGGAAACTTGTATAATCAACATTTAAATTTCATTAATTTAAAAATCGAGATCGATTTCGATATCGATTCAAACTAGAATTAGTCTAGCTAGACTTTGATAGAGTTGATGATATTTTTCCTTGATTTTATGCTCATATTTATGGTAAGAGATAGCTAATAGGTTGTCAACATTTATTGTAAGAGATATTATTCCCTGAAATTCCTCAATACAAAAATGATGTAATAAGATTACATTAAATAAACTACAAAGTACAAATAAAAGTAATGTTATTCAGCAGGAGTAGAACAATAAAATAAAATACAAAGAATTACTAGAAGAAAAGATGTAGACTTTATCGACAATTATAAAAAATGTTCCGATTCGTATAAAAAAATTCCATAATTTTCTAAAAAGTTATAAAATTATCTATAAATTCTGAAAGATTTTGAAAAGCTTTTATGATTAAAGCGATATTGCAATTGTCGAAATGAAATCGAAAAAAATGTCGATTCGACATTTTGAACGAAAATATAAGATTACGTATCACAAATTTATATCAAAAATATTAAAAATGTATCAAACTCTCATTGTATTCTCTACATATGTAATTTTTTATCACTCGAAAATGTTGAAATTTTGCAAGTTTCGAATCGACAACTTTTCCATCATAACGACATCGAAACGACGTCTTTTCGAGGAATTATTTCTAACTGGGCAGTTTCCCTATTCCCTAAGATTCGCTTTTATAAGTGCTCACGCACAATTTAGAACATGGCGTTTGTGTCAGATTAAAGGCACAGACCTTAGTTTCCATCGAGGATTTAAATCGGATTAGAATCCGGATCAGAGTGTAAGAACCAACCAACTACAATCGAGCATTTCCCTGTCGTTCGACTGTAATAGGGGAATACTCAACTGCAGTTGATTGATTTTTACATTCTGATCCGAATTAAATCCTTGGAAACTAGACCAAGGACATATGATGAATTCGAGATATTCGAGCGACGATTCTGAACGCATCCTTTCAGGGGCCTTATTCTTGAACACATATGAATAATTTTCGCATACTAAATGATAGTTCTTTGATTATGATTCAATTGTTGGTTGATTGTATACGGAATTACTATTTTCGTATATGCGATATTTGTTCAAGAATAGGATCCCTGTGCACAGTCTTCATACGTAACTCGGAACGCACCCCTAAAATGCTGGATAATCTAAAAGAATATACCAATAACAGCAAATTCAACTGTTGTAAAGCTTATTTAACTGTTGAACGCAGCCAATAGGACGTTTTTGCAATAATGTTGATCCAGATATGTAAACGCTAAAGTCGCTTCTTTTCTTAAGTAGTTGTTAAGAAAAAGATCTGACTTTAGCGTTCATCCTATCTGGATAAAACAATATTGCAAAAACTCGCTAATATCTTACTTAAGGGTGCAGTTCACTTGGCGTTACAAATGCTTCGAAGTGTTCGACCAGTCGGAAGAAAGAATTTTACTAATTGAATACCAATAAAAAAAAATGCTTCAAAGCATTTGTAGCATCAAGTGGACTGTAACCTAAAGCAGGGAGCACACTCTTGCATAACACATGAAGCAAGAAATTAATCAATCAGAATTCTTTATTTCATAAAAAGAAAGGAAATGAAGGACTTCGATTGATACAGTTTCTTATGCATTACGTATTGTACATTATGTAAGAGTCTGTGCTCCCCTCTTAATTCCGTTATTTCCAGAAAAATGAGTGGCTAATTAAGTTCTGCCATAAATCAATCTGTTTTTTAATAAGAACTATTTTTTGTATACAATTTCCCTTTTCAATTTTTTTTCTCTCCAATATCTCAATACATAGTTATTTAATTTTAAGAGTAATAATAGAACTATGGTACAACTAAATATAAATCTATTAATGTGTGCACAGATAATGTATGCAGATTCAGTCAACACGGTCCTTATAACAATTACAACATACAATCAATATAAACTAAAACATCACATATGAACATAATCTAATTAATAAATTTTTATAAAAACTTAATAACATTAGCAACTAAGTAACGCTTGTATAAGATTTGGATTTATGAAACTTTATTTTTTAAGTATACATAGCTTTGCTAAGAATTATACATATATATATATATATATATAAA